AACTCCTTAGTCAACTTTATTCCAAGTCATTACCTGACATATAAAACATGTCAACATTCATTTCTGCAACATTTAAATTAGCTAATTTTGCTAATAACACGTACTGCTGTGTAACTGAGATGGCTGAGTCAGTTTTCTAACTTTCTGACTCTGTTGAGCTAATGATACACTATTTTTTAATGTATCAAAATATGCCGTAATCATTATTTCTGACCACAGTGGCCACTGCTCAGAAAAAGTTTCATAAGCTGACTTTGAATGAGCATTTAGAAAGAAATACACTCACAAAAACTGAATCTGTCTGGGAGCATCTGCAGGAGCATTCCATACGACACACACCTCTGTCTGTCTGGCATCACTCGTATGGCTCACTGCTGAACCCTGGACACACACACACACACACAAAGCTTTTTTAATTTCATTTTTCATAATGTTTTAGGTAATAATCTTATTTGAGTGTTCCCTTTTGGGGTTTGTGATTTTATGAAAAAACATGTGTCTTTATGTGCATGTTTACGTGTGCACACCTGGTGCTCATTACAGGTGAGCAGCTGTGTCTTGTTCCGGTTGGTCAGGGTGAAGGTGCCAACTGTGCCCTGATTGGCTGCATCCCTGGCCTGAAGCAGAAAGCCCTCAAAATACGATGTTCCGGAGAGGATGACTGGAAAAGAGTGTTTCAAAAATGTAAGAATTGAAAGAAAATAATATCAACATTATCAATCATGTTTATTCATTTGGTTCTAGACCAGAGGTAGCCAACACGGTGCCCGCCGGCACCCTGTCGCCTGCAGGGACCACTTGAGTCGCCGGCAAGGCATGTTCTAAAAATAGCACTAGTCACCATGGAGCTCCGTCTAAAAATTTAGTTGCTGTTCATTTTTAATCGAAAACACTTGCATTAGTGTAGATTTTAAAATGACAATATTTCTTGTCATAAGGGAGTTGGGTACCTGGAGGCGCACGGTGGACAGCCAGGACGAGGCCGCCGCACTAGGTTTTTCAGGTTCCGAATGGCGGGCGCTTCCCGTTGGCGCCAGACGCGCGCCGCGAGTGCGCCGCGAGCGCACCCCGTCTTCAGATCCGTAAATCCTCGGAACAGGCCGCGGGGCAACAACTCAGGGGTGGCGGGGGTAGAGGCGAGGCAACGCATTCCTACCGAAAAGGCCCAGACTAGAGGTTTGAACGCGGGCGCCAAAGACGCTCGCGTGCCTCGGAGGGTTGGATCCCCCGCTCGGCTATAGACGAGACTGTTTACTAGTTTCTTCGTGGAGACAAGGGTACCATTGGAAAAGCTGGTGTCGGCGACAACAGACGGGGCTCCCGCGATGACGGGCCGGGATGCAGGCTTCATTGCGCAATGCAAAGGTGACCCAGACTTCGCAAAATGTCTACATTACCACTGGATCATTCACCAGCAGGCGCTATGTGCAAAAGTAACCGGCTTTGATCATGTGATGATACAAAAATATCACAGATGTGATACCTCTGACTTTCAAATGTTGAAACAGATTAACAGAAATAAAAGTTGCATGTTTCAATATATATGTGTAGCTATACCATCATTGTTGTGGAAATCATTCTTAATAATTATTGTGAGGAATAATTAACTGACATGTGATCAAACAGTCTCTTCACATATATTATTATTAAAAGGTGATCTGTGCAACTTTGTTATTCAGGAACTTTGTGTCAAATAAGTAGCCCTTCGTACTACTCGGTACCCTTGAAGTAGCCCTCAGTTTAAAAAAGGTTGGTGAACCCTGCTCTAGACTAATACGTTACTAAGTCTGTACTAAGACCTGTATTTTGACCAGGTTAAAGGGAGTCTCAAATCTAATTTGTTGAAATTGCAAATGACTGCTCACTGGCTTCTTGGTTTTTGAGTACTGCATATTATGGGAGTGACTTTATGGGTTCTGTTTCGGGAGCACATTTTTCACATTAGAGCCTTTATCACAGCACTGGGTTCCATCGATATGTCTAAACTGGCAGTGTTGGGTTCAACCATTTCCACAAACCTTGATGACTGACTTATTACATTCCTTGGTTACCTTTGATCCGTTCTCTGGGACTGAACGTGGTGGTGTTGGTGTCTAGGCGGTAGGGGCTGTGAGCGGTTTGACCAGGGACACCATGGTGGGGTTCCATGCTGCCACAGACTTTGGTGACCTTGCCGTTGGCATAGCAGCCTGCTGGCACCCAATAACACACCGAGACGGAGATAAAGAGAAGGCCACACAAGCCCAAAGGAGACATCTACAAGTTAAAGTATCAGCTGCTACACGGTGGCCACGATTTCTGAAATGAAAAAGAAATCACACAATCCAGCAAAGAAGGAATTCAGCATGACCACAAGCTATGTCTCTGGACTTGTAAAGTCGTTGAGATTGTTTTGTTCCTTTTCATTGTCATTTTGCTTGTCTGAGTAGTTGTGTTGTATCTGTTTGTAGCTGTTTAGTGGTCTCTTTTTGGTCATTTTATGTGTCTTTGTAGTTGCTTTGTGTCTCTGTACACATCTCAGCATCTCAGCTCTTGTGGCCTCAGTGTTTCAAGTCTCACTGACTCTACACATCTTTCAGGACACATCCAGGAAGAACAGCAGACATTTAAACACTAAGTAGAAAGATTTCCATTCTAATACAATCACTGCAAACTTGTTTTAATGATGGCCTTTGTGACTAAAGGTTCTTGCTAAGCAAGCCTCATGTACTACAGGAAATGGTCTTCTTCTAAGGAGAACTCTTTAACCAAAGAGAGTAATAAGGTTGTTGTACTCACCACTCGTCCTGCTGCAGTAGAAGGGAAATAGTCCAAGCTTGGCAGTATGTATATGTGAGTACAATATCATGTCCTCTGTCCCAGTGCTCTGTGTGTGTGTGTGTGTGTGTGTGTGTGTGTGTGTGTGTGTGTGTGTGTCTATTATTGCAGCAGTTTTACAACCTGATGGCTGAACTATTGGAACATCCTGATATGACTTTTCACTCCGGGGCAGGTTTCATTACCTTGTCAGGTGTACTTTCCATTCACAGCTATTGCTGTTCATCTATATGAGAAGAATTTATGTGAAACTATAATATATATACAGTATATAAATGGTCTGCTAGCATCAATTTAAATTAAATTAAATTAAATTAATTAACTAATTTGCTTGCTCAATTAATTATTGAGCAAGCCGACACTTACCTGTCTGTGACAGGCAGCAACCTCCAGTGCTAAAATGTAAAGACGATGTGGAAGTGCCTTAAACTTGATATGATGATGATACAGGGCGTCAACAGATGACTTTAAATTTGAGTCGATAAAATCAATAATGTCAATTCTATATTTTAAATTGAGCAGTAGCAAGCATGAACAAGTTCTCTCAGGGATTTCAATATTTCATTATTTCGTTTTGTGCAATGTCCCTGGAGCATTACAGGTGTTAACAGCTTTGAGTAGCTGCATTTTCATTGTGCTTCCATTGTGGGACAGTAGTATCCAACATTTCATTCTGCAAGCTAGTGGTTTTAGTTTCCTTCATGTTCTTATTTTCCCAGTGGGAATGCTCTACACTACATATTCATGAAATATAATTAGTGTGCAAGTATGAAAGGCTATACATATTTTGTTCAACCAGAAAAATGTGCCTCAGCTTCTCATAGTTTGGGATTTGAATCTACATTTGTCCATTGTTGATGTGTGTGGACAAGAGTTCCCTCTGGTGGTATGAGAGGGACACTCACTTCATGATGTACATTAACGTGCCTGCATGCGCAAGAGATTTGTTCATATCACATTGTGCTTTGTAAATTCGTTGTGTCCCAGTATTTCTAATGAGCAGGCCTGGTGAGTCATCTTGAAGAACAATTTGATCAAAATAAATTCTAATGAAAGTAGCAATTCTTCCATGATATCAGATTACATTTTAATTTACTTTATCTATGTCAATGTATGACGTAATCTTGGCATTATGTTACTAGCTGGTGGGCTGCTCTTGTCTGTCCAACAGCTGCACTGCAGTGTGCCATCTTATGTAACTCGCTTGTCTGTTTATGTGCCTACGTGCACACTGCACGTTGATGTGTGGTAAGCTTAGAAATTGCGCAGTAGAAATTATGCAATAGAATGAGCATTTTGGCAGCAATATCCTATTTCAATAAATTAGTTATTGCTGCAGAGCAGGCTATGTTGTCTAAGTAAGCGCTTGAAATTTTTCTTCAGTCAATACAGAAGCTGAGTGACTGGGCTTAAGGGTTTGTTGTAGTGCTTCAGCAACCACCTCTGAAGTTCACATGAGCAGGGCACTAAATTCCCAAATAGGTTACAAGACTCACTGAAGCTACTGGGCAGCTTCCTGTAGTCATGTATGAAATTCATACTTACACTAAATGAGCAGTGAACACATTTCTTGGTTAAATAAATACTGGTTTGAAAATGTATTAAAACATTCAATAATTCCGTTTTACTGGGGTTATTACGGTAAAGGCCCCCCGGTCTGCAGACCACGCCCCCTTAGTTCACCCACTGTCCATACAAGAAAAACAGAGCTGTCACACTCGAAGCTGTGACCTAACGGAGACAACGGACAGGTGAGTGGGAATGGATATTCAAACAGCTGTTTGGATTATCGTGTCATATTGTCATATGGTCATGTAATTAAGCTTGTTGGAGTTGTATCCCCAGCTATAGGCTAGCAGGTCGAATGATGCATCACTAACTTAGCTAACGGGTGTTAGCTAACGTTAGCGGACACAAGTTTAGCTTACTGTTATAACTTTAATTATAATAATAACCTTGCTTTAACGCTTTGCACGTTGCGTTTCGTAATTCAACATTGCACCATAATATGGGAAAACACACCGTTCGTTGTTTACAGACGACGAATGCTCATAACCATTTAGCATTCTGTCCATTAATCAACATTTTTAGCGTTTCCTTGCGACGAAGGTACATCATTTTACCTTATGAAACATTGAATAGCCATTCTCAAGTTTACATTAATTTCCCCAATCACATTTCAACTTCACGGCACCGCCCACTATGTATGTCTGCTGCAGACATGAATTACCAAATGAACCACAAGTAAAGTGTGTGGCGCTATTAAAATAAAGTGACTGTGGTAACGTGTACGTATGCCGAATTGTTAAATTGTTACTAACAATGAAATGAGTGTTTTGTATTATATTTAATGTTGAATAACTGTGTGCTAGTAAGCGAGTGAACATTAAATGGCCGCTCTGTTGAATGGATTGGAGTCCCACCACACACGGGATCTCAGCTCTGGGTTTCTGTACCACCGGGCCGAACACTTCTCTACCGTCGTCTCGACATTGTCTATATCTGTTGTCACTCAGTGTTGGACCCGGTGCTCCAGACCAGCTGAACAGTGGTCGGAAGAGTTGTATAAATAGGTAGTGTGACATTAACGGTTGCATTGCTGACCTTGTTCTTATCGGACCGGAGCACTGCGCAGACTCAGAGGAAGGGTTCAGTGACTCTGGATGCATTAATTAACCTGCTCCATGTGCAGACCAGAATCCAAGCAGCATGCTCTGTTCCTGTGTGTCTGGGCTGTTGTATATCTACCCATGTGTATTAGCTCAAGTAATGTCCTGGGCCTCTACGTGTTGACGAGGAAGTTCCAGGAAGTCTATATGTATGTGTGTGTGTATATATATATATATATATATATATATATATATATATAT